TTGCAAAATCCAACCTGCCAAAACGCAAAAATAGTGGTGCTTCTACTACTGGTCAGTACTACCATTGGCTACGACGACTGGAGTTCCAGCTCACGATCCCGGACACCCTTAATTACGGAGGCTCGGGTTCACATCCTCGGGGGGGTGAGGGGGGTGAGGGGGGTTTCTTATTATGAGGTTAACATTAAGGACTCCGTAAGACATCCCGTAGGCGTTCTTAAAACCCCCCCCTCGGGTTCCCGAAGGTATGGGTTAAGGTTTACGGTTTAAGGGTTTGGGGTTTTAAGGTTTAAGGCTTCCTTAAGACCCCAACCAGGGGCCCACGCAGTGATCTGCGCTACCTGCTGAGGTAGATGACCCTGGCCGCACCTGTTTTCTCTGGGTTGGAAGACGGCTTTTCAGGGGTTGGCGCTTAGGGTTGCGGTTCCACATGTGACAATAGCTGTAAGGGTAGATGAAAGGGCTTATAATTAAGGTCGAATAGCCCAGCCTTGTACACCCTGAACCCACATTTGAAACCCTGCCCACTTAAACCCTCAACCCTAAACCCCAAACCCTGAAATATCCAAGCCCCGGGAGCCGAAACCCTACATCATGCGGACGGTTTCCAGGTACTCGACAGCATACGCTTACGCTTTACCTGTGCTGTAACTCCAACTACCTACGTTTTTTTATGGGTCATACCCATTTATTAAGGGGCACGTACGACAAAGCTTAGGGAATTAAGGTTACAGAAGGTGCAAAAATGGATTGTTAGAGCTCCCGAGACAAGAGGAGCTCTTCTATCTGTTAGGTGGACCCCCCCCCACCCAGTAATAGTGACAATAAGGGATAATGAGGTTTCTCTTGAAAACCTCTTATATTCCTATTTTGCCACTATGACAAGGTGGGGAGTCCTCGTATTCTATCAATTTTTTAGCCAAGGGCGCAAATACAATCACTAAGGGTCCAAGCCCCCTGTACATACTGTCGTGGGTCCTGCCCAAAATCCCAAATACCTGTTTTTCGGGTACTTGGACACTAGACCCTAAACCCTATCCTTATATACCCCTACAGGTCCTTTTAACGGGGATCGAATTATTGCGTACTTGGACCCTAAACCCTAAACATCCCTATAACCCTTTACATCCCTTCAAAAAGCGAGTACCCAGACCCTCTGGGCCTGCAGGCAGCGGGTAGGAGCCTGTAGGGTTCCGGCCAAATATCCAATCATCATATGACTTCCCCAAGTTTGTAAGATAATTTGCATTAAGCATTCGAATCCCAAGTACCTAGCTATGGGTACTTGGACGCTAAACCCTAAACCCGAAATATCCCTGTATAGCCCTATACAGATCCCTTGGGTATTTGGACCCTCTGGCTATGGCTTTGCTCGTGCTGATCCTCGAACTTCTTATGAAGCCGTTTCGGGAGGCATGCGTTGGAGGAGTACCCCCTGTAGCCCTACACCGTAAACCCTAGACCCTGAATCCAAAAACCTACACCCTAAACCCTACCTAATCATAAAAAGTATGTGAAATAATAGCCCTGAACACATAAAAATAGCCATAACATGCCATTATTTTACATACTTATGGGGTCCAGGTACACCCTAAACCCTAAATCCTAGACCGAAACTCAACGGCGACTGGTTCAGACTGGGGATGGCAGTGCGAACTTCCAGTTCGAAGCTCGCAATGTCAAGGGCACCCTCTGATGAGGGTAACGCTCATAAAACAAGGTTTAGGGTTTGGGGTTCAGGGTTTATGGGGTTTAGGGTTTTGGGTTCAGGGTTTAGGGGTTTAGGGTTTTGGGTTCAGGGTTTAGGGGTTTAGGGTTTTGGGTTGGGCTCGTAGAAGGGTAA